GGATGGCGATTAATACTAACCAGCGCATCCCCTATCCGTAAAGTCAAAAAAAAAGAAGAGATTTGTCATGATGTCTGCAACCACTTACCTCCAGGCAGCTATGACACCGAAATGAACGAGTCTGTGCGATGCGCTGTTCTTTTATAGCCTGAGTCTCACTCGCCTGTCCTCGTGCCAACATGCTCTATGTGTTTACATCAGTTTGGGGTAATATGCTTATGGGTATGCTTAGCTTAGGTTCACTGCCGTCGCAACCTCAGTTACGACTCGCCTGATCCTACTTGTATACAACTTAAAACCAACTTACAACTAGCTTATTACTATGTTTGATCAAATAACTACTCGCTAAGGACTCAGGTACCAAAACGCGTGATTCAATCACCGTTAGGTATGTGCGTGCTTGTGCACTGAGTTTGCATGTACTTTGTGTATAGCTTATTACTATGTTTTGTTCAAGAGTTTACTCACTAAGCACTCAGGCACCAAATCGCGTGATTCGATCACCGTTAGGTATGTGAGTGCTAGTGCCCTGTGTTTGCATGTGTTTTGTGTTTTTACATGTGTGATCGTGTCTTTGTACAATGTGTGTATGCAGTTTATGCATTCTCGTATGTTCTTACTATTCCTTTCCCTACCTACGTTCAATTTTGCTTGTTTTGTTTACCCTAACGGTGCTACTCATTCTGCGCATTTTTACACATAGAGATTTTTGCTGAAGTTTGTTTTGCATGCATAGATTTCCTACCTAAGTTCTATTATGCTTGTTAAACATTTTGGGATTTTACTTGTAATTATACTTTGAGTTTTATTTAGCCTTTGCGTTCTTGAGATTCTACTAGTATTCGTACTTTGAGTTTTGTTTAACCTTCGAGTTCTTAAACATTTTGAGATTCTACTTGTGTTCTTAACATATTGATTTCTTGCAACTAAGGTTTTCTTTTATTTGGGTTCTTGACTCCGCTCTTACCTTTTGAAATTTGGATCTAAGCTTTTTTTCTTTTAATTGAGTTCTTGACTCCGCTAGTGCATTTTGGAATTTGGATCTAAGCTTTTTGGTGCCCTGGGGCTCCTAATCTGTGCTGTGGTGCGCTTCGGTGGTATTTTATACTTTTTCTTTTACACTACCCTTGGTGTGTGTTTCTAAGGTTTTAACTTTACAAGGTATAGGTGTGTGATATTATGATTTTATCTTTATGCGGTATAGGTGTGTGATATTAAGCATTTATCTGTACAAGGTATAGGTATACTTAGTGTGTGTTTTGTGATTTTATCTTTACAAGGTATCGGTATCGGTATATTAGTGTGTGATATTATGATTCTACATAGGCATATTCGCTATGCGTTTTGTACCATACATTTGATGCTGGAGGGGGGCTGCTCATCTTCTAATGAACCCCCGACGGACGTGCACGGACAGATCGGACTGGCGGGTTGCCTGCTGGAGATAAATGTCTAGGGCGGACTTGTATTTCGTAAGGAAGCAAAAACGCTTCCTTACAAGATATAGGTTAAAACATTCTGTTTTGTTCGTCTTATGATAAAGAAGCATAAAACCAGTTTACGCAGTTTACGCTCCACTGCGACTTTCCGCTCCGACCAATTTGGCCCATTTTCAAATCTAACCTGGTTGCGAAAACTTCCAAAGCTCCTACCAAATTTGAAGTCACTATTTTCATTTTTGCGACCTACAAACACCACACAGACACACAGATGAAAAGACATGGTTTAAGCAATTTAAAATTTCACGCTGATTAACCATACATATACTTTCTAGGGTTTCTAAAGCTGAAATACGCCCCCATCCTTCGGTGGTGAGTGTAAAAAGGAAACAAAAATTGTAAAATGTTTTTAACTACGCGCGCATATTTTCAGGAAAACCCGCCAAATGACACATAATTTTTGTGAGAAATTATTGTCGCACAAATGCAAACAGGAAGCCGAAATTGGCATTAGACATTGACGGGTTCTGTAAATTTAGAGTTAACTTCACGAACATAGTTATCGATTTAATTAGACCAAATGATTCTCTGTATCTATGTGTGTCCAAGAGACACCAAGAGAAATAAACGTGCATGGTAAATTAATGAATAAACAGCAAGCCAAGCAAAGACGTAACGTGATACACTGGGACCACGAGGCTTACGGACTCGATGATCGAGGATTTGACGCTAATGTTAAAGAATGCTTGGAGGCTTTACCACAACATTCATTGGAACATAAGCATGGTTGGCTGTTAGTTCTTAGCCATGCCTTGAGTAAAAAAATTGGACATCTCATCATACAACGTTAAACAAAGAATTTCGCTGAATGACAAAATTTTGTAGACGCTGTGAAAGTTATGGGTAAATTTCTGAATACAGTAATTTTTTATGAAACTCATTATTAGAAAGTATCGTTTCCATTCCAGAATCAGTGGCTTTTAGTCTGACACCAGATCAGATCAAAAAGTGGAGCTATTTGGAATTTTCCGGTGAATTAAAAAGTTCAAGTTATGCGATATGATTTTTCAAGGATAATTTTTTTTTAATAACTTCAGCCATGTCTCTGAATTGAAAAATTCATGTGACTTTTAAAGTTCACCGCAAAGGTACAGAATTATTTGGTGACGGTTTTGCCATATGGTACGCCAAGGAACATATGCAACCAGGGTCAGTTTTCGGTAGTAAGGATAATTTTTCTCTTCTAGTAGTTATATTAGACACTTATATATATACATTATCACACAGGCGACTTTCCTTATGTCTGCGATTTATGTGGGCGAAAATATGCTCAAATGTGCCTTTTGAATACGCACAAAAAAATTAAACATGATAGCGTGGGATTTAGCTGCGACTACCCTGATTGTGGAAAATATTTCACGTCATCTAACTCTTTACGAAATCATGAGTACACGCATCACAATATGATGCCCTTTGAATGTGAATTTTGTCAGCAAGGATAACCGGCTAAAGCAAAGTTAGTAATTTCTTAGTCAAATTAAAAAAATAAACGTACTTCATATATAATATTCTTTTTTACAGACTAAAGGTGCATATTAAGCGAAAACATGGTCAGGATATGAGCAAAGAGCAATTAGAAAATATGCGTAAATTTCATGTTATGCGCTCCAAAGTTAATTTTATAAAGGTGATTCTTGTCTCCGATATTTAATATTAACGAAATTATAAATAAAATAGATGTCGGTGTATTGGTTTTAATTAATTTCACGAACGATTATCTCGATGAATTGTGGGTACAAATTAGAAAAAAAAACTACAAAGCAATCTAGCTAGGAACTAAGACTCCGTACAAGAATTTTTTCAAACGTTTTATTTCCATGCTTTACTCAAGCATAAGTTTTTATGCTTGGACACGAAAGGGGACTTTTCTGATGCCAATTCAAATATCAACCAATGACTTCGCATAGAAAACATTTTTTTTATAATAAAAACTCGGTTTCGATCCAACATTTAATTAATTTTTATACATGTGCGTAAAATCTTTACTTTTTATTGTTTTTAAAGGTTACATTCTCTTAAAATATTGAAAAAAAATTAGCGTTAATTTACAATTTAAGTCAATAAAACGTTTCCTCTAAAAACGAAAAAAAATTTGCACTTTAATAACATTTTTAAGAATTAAAAAAAAACGGAATGCTCGAGAATTAATCTTTTAAATGTGTAGAATGTGTCTTATAATACATTGTAGATTGTTGTTGTTTAAGAAGAGTAAATATGTCTTTATTAATATTGCCTCTTTAATAACATTCACTTGATTACTAAAATTTTTTTATTATTATCAGCGATATGTGTGTAAGTTAATTTCATAACTGCTTCTATATTTTTTTTTTTTTTCATTGCTTGTTCCCATCATATAAGTTCGTTCGAGGTTCAAAAGTATTCAATCACGTATACTATATCATTTTGTATGAAAGAGTATCAAAGTACTTAAATGTAAATTATACCCACACATCGTGAGGATTTTTGCTGGTTGGTACTGCATTTTCCAACTGTCGCGGCGAACCAATAATTCGACGGCTGCTGCCCGGTTTATTAGAGCCTGAACTTAAACGAAATTCTAGTAAAATTCCATTTTATTCCATTTACATAATATTTTACCTTCCAAGAAATGTTTGATTTCCTCCGAAGGAGTGATAGTTAAACTTTGCAAATTTACCTCCTTCATTTCGTTAACCTCTTGTTCCACCTAAAAGGTATCATACAATTTTACTTATAATAACTATTAGTGATGATTAATACAATTATACAAGAAATAATAACACAATTATAAAATAAAATAATCCTTATTAAGAATTGAAATAAAACTTTTCTTTACTATGGGAAAAAATATTAAAGAATTTTAAAAAATATGCTGAATGGTTATATAATTAATAAATAAATTTTTTTTTAAGATTTGCTTGCAACGTAGAAGTTTACTAACAAATAAACTGATTACTAATTATTAAATTATTAGCATTATATTGAAAAATTCGTTTTAATATGCAGAAGTTTTAATATGTGAAATCCAAAACAATCAAAAGTACTTGATTGTTGCTACATTTCACTATTATTGAAAGAAGTAAGAAAACTATATTCGGCCGTATCCGAATCCTTTATAACCGTCGCCGTTACCCATCGTATACCGTCGCAGCATCCGCGATGTTTAATTTAGAGTTGACACATTCCGTTTGTCGTATTCTACCCTCCAAGTCAGTTTATTTGATACTTAGTCGATTATATACCCAAGAAGAAACGAAATCTTCAGTTTGGTGGGTTCACAATATTTAATTTAGAACTGGCACATTTTTAGACAGAGAGAGATAATGTAATTTCACGTAAATAATGTACATAATCATTTTGCTTTGTTTATCTTACGAGCAATAAGCAGAAATCCTTAAAAAAGTGAAAAAAATCACTTATAATTTTGTACAGGTGTTGTAGGAGCAACCCATAGAATATAAGGGCAAATTTGTATCATTGCATCTCTTACAGTTGATAAATAACGAACAGAAAACAAAGGTAGTAGTTAAGTTTCACTGTGGTCGTGGCCTTTGGCCGATTCACCCCATCTTCAATGTCACCCTCCTATGTAAGAATTGCCAATGTTTCTGTCGAATTTGAAGCCGATAGCATCGTTTCTGCCACCTGGGGGGCTGTTTACCACAGGACATTACATAGACAGACGGACGAATATTCTTAAATCGGTTTAGAATGTGCTGCTGATCGAGAATATATTTACTTTAGGGGTTCCTGAGCTTTCCTTCTGTGTGTCACAAACGTATCGATGAAATGAGTATATCTCATATCCTTCAGCTATGGATACGATAACGAAACAACATTAAATTTTATTTGTATGTTTAATAACAAATTGCTCAGGAAGTGAACAATTAATCCAGTATGGTGTGTATGCAGTTTAAGAGAACTTTTTTAACGTAGTCCTTACTTGTCTCTTTTTTTCGGCTATAGCGTTTTCAATTAGTGCAATTTCCTTTTCAAATTTTCAGCGGTATTATTCGATGTATCGGTATTATGAATGGCCTGATCGATTTCACTTTGAATACGCTCCATTCCCATAAGCAAATCGCGTTCAACAATTTGCCTGTAAATGTTTAAAAAATTGGAGAGATAAAAAAAAAGTAAGAAAACGCATTAATAATAACATGAATAAAAAATAAAATATACGATAATAAATAAAAAACCTAACCGATAATTATATATATATATAGAAAAAAGTTTTAGTTAGCTTTTGATTACCGTTTATTTTCTTTGCAATTTGATCGTTGTTCAATTTCGATGTCATCCATTAAAAGGCGTATTGTATTTTTGCAGTGTAACAATTCTGTTTCACAATTAGCTAATTTGGAGCGCAAGAGAACAATTTCCGATTTCAATGTCTTTTCTTGTTGCTTGACTAATTCATTTTCCTCTTCAACGTATTGCAGAGTTTGAAGCTGAAAATGTGATTGTAAAGAACAAAAATGTTGTTATTATTATAGTGTTACATAAACCACGAATGCAAATCATTGGCCTAAAGTCTAGTGCTATGAAACCAATGACGTTAATATTGAAATAATTTAAAAAATATCATCGTCTTCTTGTCAAGTAAATATCGTTAGTGTTCGATACATTTGACGATTAAAAAGTCGGAAAATCGTTATTCAAATACTAAAATACCTGCTCGCTACCCTGTCTGAATAACTGATCGACTAAGGTAATTTCTCTAGATATAGCCTCCAATTCCTGCGTTTGGTCGTGATCTTTAGTTTCCAAATAGAGTATTTCGGCGTCGTACTAAAAGTAAAAATTTAGCGATAAATGAGCATTGCATCAATTTCAATTACCATACTTTATTCAATTCCGATTGTTGAGCATTGAGTTTCTCGGGTTGGCATTTTATCAATTATAATAAATCATTAGATTGCGTGGCCTGGAAAATGCTTTCACTTTCATCCATGTTCGAGGGTATAACTAAATCGCTTAAACGGGAATAATCTACTATATCATAATCTCCTTCACTAGAAGAGGTTTGCACATCCTTAGTCGTCATAACGCCCATAGACGGAGATAAATTACTTTCGGTGCTATTGGTGTTAAATGTGCTGTTAAATTTTGTGTGTGTGACTGTTGATTAAGTTGCAAAGGGCTGTTGCGCGGCGGTGGGGGATCGCGATAAGGCGGTGGAACCAACGCGCCATTAGCCGATATTGTGGTAGTCTGTTTATATAAATCGTCGAGTGAATTATTATATTTATATAATTGGCTTGAATTGCCATTGAATATATCTAGGAGATTTTCATTGGAAATTACAGCTGTTGGGGGAAACATTATTTCAGCACTTCCTCCCAAATTATGCTCTTCTGATAAGGGGACTGCCATGGTACCTCGTAAAAGAAGGAGAAAAAACCATATCTTAACACATGCCTGTATACAAAATAGTGTTTAAGAAAATAATTTTTCAGCCTCATTTAAATCTAAATGGGTTTCAACAGAAAACCTTACGCTTTAATAGATGAATAATTTTGTTCTTCTTCACTTCATGGCAAAGGTTTAACGCGTTAACGCGGTTGCCATATTTTGAAGGCAAATCTGTTCTCAACATACCTCGATCTAACGCATTTCGCGCTTCTGCCAATTGATTTACTGTTATGAGCACCTAAATGTTGATAAATGTTGTTGTTGTTGTTATTGGTAATACTATTCGTTTCTTGATAAGCACCATTTGCAAGAAAATCATTGTTGTCACCATCAGCACCACTTAAGCGCAATTCAATAGGATTTGGACGAGATTTTTCATGGCGTGGAACTAAAGGAATATGTAGCGACGGCGATGGCTGCGATTGTTGGCTGCTGTAATGTTGCTGCACATGTAGTTCGTTGTTCCTAAGATTGCTACTTTGAGGTACACCCTTAACAATGCCCACATTTTCCCATTGTTTTACTAAACTAGCAGATGAAGCACTACGACAAGAAAACAACACTTTTAAAAATTGACCAGGTCGGGATTTTATATATCGAGTATTTCGCTTATCTAAAAGCTTTTTTCAATTCCTTGGCACGCTCGTGAGCTGTATTCAAACTTAATTCCATAGTTTGATTTAGAGTTTGTTGGTTATCGATTTCGTTGTTGTTCCAGCGAACACGAAATCTACTTTAAATTTTCCCCGTTATATTACCCTGGCCCCGTATTATTTGTGGCTGCTGGTGTTTATTTCTCAACCGCATAAGGTGTATTATTAGGTAGTGGGTATCATCCTACTATCCATACGTGTAAAAAAGACTGCCTTTGGCTGCAAATTGAAATGAGAGAAATGACGTCAAAAAATAAATTATAGGCGCTTATACATTACAGATTTATAATTAATGAACGATTTGTATGTTTGATATCTAACATTTATAGTCAAATGAATGAATCTGAAATAATTTGACTAATATTGGTGGAAAGGAAAAAACGTTGTTACATATTTTCTAAAGACATTGATACTATTGTAGTAATACATAAAAATTGTTTATACAGAATGTTTTTGTAAAATAATTTTGAAATTTGCGAAATGAATTTGGACAATATCTTACCTTTCGTAAAATTTTTTTTAAAGATATATCGAATCTTTTATCTTACGTTAAACAAAATTTTAATTTATTGAACACGTTTCTGTTCAAAACCGTTTTGTCAAAAACTTAAACATATCTAATTTTTAGATGTTTTTTGCATAAACGAGTCGACTTGTGTTCAGTGTAGTGCGTGTTTTCTATTCGTCTGCGTTTTTTCAATTGTTTCGGTGTTTTCGGTGTTTTTGTGTATTTAACTTCTGTCTTTTCGGTGTTATTGCTAAAACTGGTTAACGCGGATATCGCGTATGTGCTTTTGTTTCGTCTATATATAATAAAAAATAGAAAACAAAAAAACAAAATAAAAAAAAAAAAAATTGAAAACATTTGACACTTTTCTTTAGTAGTCCCCAACCTTCTTGCACAGTTCCCAAACCTTTTCAAGTGAGTGGTTATTTCAAAAATAATAATAAATAGACAACAGTAAGGCATAATGGCCCCGGGGCCGCCAGACAAAAACCCGAATAGATTTTATCTATTAAGTGATACATCCCCCCAAAGAAAAAAAAGTAAAAAATCAGATTTTCCGGTGTTGCCGATCAGCGATATAATCCCTATTGATAAAAAATATATTGTTATTTCTTCAACGGATGCTCGAATAACAATTTCCCAAATTAGCCCTTTTGCTATAAAAAAAGCTCTAGATAGCATTACAACATACATCGACTCGATCTCGATTCTACGCGATGGGAATTTACTGGTCCTCGCTGGGAACCCGCGCGCAACCGAAAAACTAATAAAGGCCAATTCTTTAGCTAATCTATGTGCTATTTCAGCTAAACTACATGAGAAACTTAACTCGGTTCGAGGCGTAATTTATGCCCCTTGCTTAAAACATGTGCCGGAAGATGAAATTGTTCGCGAAATGGGCATTCAAGGAGTGACTGAAGCATATAAATTAACCAAACTGAATGATGACGGAAAAACACGCTCTCCTACAGGAAGGATTATTTTAACTTTTGATCGCTATCGATTACCGCGAACAGTTGATGTGGCGTGGTATAAATGTAAAGTAGAACTATACATCCCAAATCCTATGAGGTGTAAAAATTGCCAACGCCTGGGTCACACGGCAAAAAGATGCACTAATGCTGCATCTTGTGCTAACTGTGGTCATCCTCCACATACTGAAAGCTGTACCCGTAGTTTCTGCATAAATTGCAATGATCAACACTCAGCGTTAGACAAACAATGCCCACGTTTTGTACAGATGCGTGAAATATTAAAAATCAAAACAGAAAATTACTGTAGCATGGGCGAAGCGCGACGCACATATCGGGAAAGAAATCCATCTGTAGCCCATGGAATTGGCAAAAGTAATACCTATGCTGCTGTTGCCTCGCATATCGAGCCTAGTAAGACTTTAACTGCAACTGCTTCCAATGAAAAACCTGTTCCACCATTAACCAAAAATTATATTGCGAAACCAGTTACATCACTTGCCAAAGATAATATTGAAAAAACCAAAGCAACTGCAAATATTGAAAAAATTAAAACAACAACACATATGCTAAAATCTAATATACCAAATTCTCCAGAATCTTCAGCTCTCAACTTTACTCAACATATCACAAGTGGTAATGAATCCATTCTTTCATCCATTAATCAACCTTCGAAAACCAAAGCAACTGCAAATATTGAAAAAATTAAAGCAACAACACATATGCTAAAATCTAATATACCAAATTCTCCAGAATCTCCAGCTATCAACTTTACTCAACAAATCACAAGTGGTAATGAACCCATTCTTTCATCCCTCAATCAACCTTCAATTTCAAATTATTCACGTGCGCCAACCCGTTGCGCTTCAAATGTAGCAAATCACCTAAATACAGATTATTCTGCTGGTAAGAATAAATCATTCACGAAAAATTCCTATAGCGACCTTCTCGACGGAGACGCTGACATGTCAACTTAACCCTCCCTCCACTCTGCTTACATGTCATTACAATTAAATAAAGTTTTTAAAATTCTACAATGGAACATTAAGGGACTTATTAATAATTTTGATGAACTCCGTACACTCATAAGTGATTTTAATCCAACCTTTTTATCGGTTCAAGAAACCCATTGTAGAAGCTCTTTTAATCCTATTCCACCCAAATCATATACTGGATACTTCACGAATGCTGATCAAAACTCATATTCCAAACAAGGAGTAGGTGTTTTTATAAAATCAAGTGTACCTCACAAACGCATAAATTTAAGCTCAAATATACAAGCCGTAGCGATACAAATAATGTTAAATATAAAATTTACAGTGCTTTCGCTCTATATTCCACCTTCGCAATCGTTTTCTCGGCAAGAACTCTACAGTTTATTCTCCGTACTTTCCCCCCCATTAATTATATGCGGCGATTTCAACAGCTGGAATACCATATGAG